CATCATCCTGCTGAATATTATGAATTTCTTCATCGGAATAGTCATCCGTGGACTCTTCTTCAGAAGTTTCGACTAGAAGACTACTAATTTGTTCTTCTAAATCTGGTTCTAAATTGAGGTTGCTAATTCTTCTTTTGAGTCTACAGTATTTGCTGATATGACCAGGTTTTTTACAATTGTAACAGACTATGGATTTCTTTTTCCCTGGTGGGGATTTGGTTTATGTTTTAGGTTCCCTGGTAGATGATTGATTTCTCCTTTTAGGATTCCTAAAACGTCGTTGTTATTTGTAGTGGGTATTACTGGGTTGGTCATGCCTAACAATTTTTCTGGTTTTTTGTTTAGAGCAACCTGGTAAACCATATTGTTCACAAAAAGTGCCTAATTCCTTTCTATTTTGGGTCTTTTCTTTTGCTAGTTGCCTCTGAAGCTTATCATTTTGACAGATCTCCAAGGCCGTTTTTTGTACAAAAGAAATTAATTGGCCATAACTCAGATGGTCATAAGGAATAATGTTATCAGGTGTTAAAGCCCTAATTTTATCCCTAACCTTGTCGCCTAAAGATCTCGGAAGACCGGCTAATTTTTTTTTTCCAGAATGGTTGTTGACTATCTTCTCTGGTAAAAACCCTGGTGAGGAATGTATCCTTATACCACTTGAAATTGCCTAAGGTTTTACACTTGAGATTGGACAATAGTTCAGCAGAACTATCTTTCCATAAAGATGGATCTCCTATAAAATGTTGGGCTATGGTAAAAATTAAGGTATTGACAGCATCTGGAATGGTCTCACCATTATTGAAGATTGGTTCACCATTGTCATCGATCTTAACAGCTGAAAAGATCCCTAATTTTTGTGCTTCAGTGCAATAATGATCCCACCAACCTTTAAGTTTCCCTGTAAATCCTGATACTATAATATTTGCTATAGCTTCCTCAGAACTCTCATGGGCTGTTTGATAGGCAGTACAAACCATGGTCATATGTTGTAACATATGCATGATATTGTATTCAGATTTACCATCAATATTCCATTCATAGACATTGTTGGCATTAAAACTACTATTATTGAGGTCCTTGTCTTCTATGGCCAAATCTAAGGCTGTAGAGGGATAAGGTTTTGTTAGACCTTTTCATTGGTTTTTGGAGGTGGTCATAATAGGATTAATCTGAATGGATTGAGGATTACTAGAATCAGAATCGTGATCTGATCCTTGGTTTAAAACACCTATAGTTCTTGCTGGCATTCTTGTTTTAGGTCTAGAAGAGGCTTCTTCAGTACCTTGGGGAGACTCAGGAATGGTAGTTGCTTTAAGTAAATTATTGATTTTGCTTAATAATTCACTAGCATCAGAATCCATATTGGCTTTTACCTTAGCCTTTTGGTCTTGTATTTGACCATAGATTAGGGTTTGTGCACTTTAGGCTTATAATTGGGCTTCATGGGCCTTTAGGCTTTTGACACCCAATATTGGGCTCATTCTCTTTCTTATAATTTTTCTATTCATTGTATTTCATTGACCATTGTATTTAGGTCATTTTTTTAGGATTTAAGGAGGATTACTAGTTTAAGAGAATTAGGCAAAACTAGGTTTAATTTAGTTTGCATTTAAGTTGCATTTTGAGTCACATGGATGGCGCCATCTTGGCTGAACATGTGTGACTCAAATTCAACCCTAAATGCACATTAAATCAAACCTAAATACACCTAGCACCCATGGGATCCGGTCTTACACATGTGTGTTAATTAAGATTTGAATTCAAATTCAAAATTCGAATTCAAATCTTGGCGCCACATGTGAAACCTCCACATTGGCGCCAAGTGTCTCCTAATTCCGGGTGTATAAAAGTTCCCTCCTCACACTTTGTAATCACTTTTGCATATATGAAATTTCTGAACATTTTTCAGCCTAATTCCTACAAAAGTCACCGTGAGAGAATTGCCTTCAAAACCCTAGGAAACTCCTTTAGTTCCTACCTTTTGAAGTGAGCAATCCTTTGAGCCTTCAAGCTAGGATACTTCCATCTCTAGCCTAGGCTTTCTTACTTCGAGTTCATCCATCAAACAAGTTCGATCCGTTCGGTTCAAGTCTCCAAGAAGAGGATCCTACACTTGGTGAAGTCAAGGAGTGGTTCATCTTTCACTCCTCCTAGCCTTGCCATCAATCTCAAAAACTCAATGCACATGAATTGAATACTTGATTCATTGACAGTGGTTGCATCAGTCACATGATCAGTTTATCATTTTTTACCACTATTGCAAATTAACTAAACCAAAAGTCAAGATGGAAAATGGTGAAATTGTGCAACCCAATGGAAAAGGAATGATTTTTATATCAACTAAGAAAGGTATGATAATATCAAAGATGTTCCTTTCATTCCATAATTGGATCAAAATCTTCTTAATGTTTCACAAATGTTAAGGAATGAATATGGAATCTCTTTCAAAGAGAATTATTGTTTTATCATGGATTAACATGGTTTAAAGATTGCAAAGATTGAGATGATCAAATTTTTTATTTGAAATTTGATTTAGTTGAAGATCATGATTTTATTGCTAAAATTGATGAGAGTAATGTTTGACATGGAAGATTTGGTCACACTTTTATGCAAGATATATTTGATATGGCAAATCCTAGCAAATAGTACATAAAGACAAGAGAAGTTAAATTGAATGATTATGATGATAATGATTTAAGTCAAGAAATAGATGTGCAACAACTTGATGACATGACACTTCTGAAATCAAGTTTTCGAGTTCATAATTAAAGTTTAAGATATTCAACGCAAATCTCAAGGAGAGATGTTAAATTTATGAGATTTTTCTTTATTTGAATTTTGATTTTTTATTAAATTTAATATAGGATATTTGTTATTGTTACAGTTTCATCTTTTATATTTTGTTTTCAATTAGTCAATGTAATTTCAACAAATAAGATTGTTAATAGGAGATTTGTTAAAAAATTTAAAGTGATTATAAATCTATACATAAGCATCCTCTTCTCTTCTATGAATTTTAATGACAATTTACTGTTTTCAATTTTAATTTCAATTTGTCTACAAGATCCAAATTTTCTATATTTTTGCAAAATATTTCCAACAAAATTGATTCTATGTTGAATACCTTATATGGAAGTGTTGTTCCTCTCAATAATGGAGTCGGTTTTGACCAACATTCCTACTTATAAATCAAATTCATGTATGTCGATTTTGCATATCAAGTAATTAAACTAGTATAGCATTCATGTGCACCTCCTTATCATCTTTTTTTCTTTGTCTACATACATGATCAATACATTATTTTAAAATTGATAACCAAAGACTAATATGTACATACAAGATGTGACTTCGGTTGACTAAACATTATTTTAACAAGAGAATCAATCTTGAACGCACCAAATCGACTCCATGTGTCCCAAAATAGACCTTACAATCATTCATTGAATCAAAAGATTTGATTCCATTGTCGCCTTTTTAACCTCCCACTAAGTTGACAGTGTTATGTATATTACCTATTAGTTCCTTTTCTCAATCAAGCAGTGTTCCTACGCCATCTAAACCTCCACTCCTACCCACCCTCTCCTTCTAGCTCCCCATTTCCCCTACCTTATCCTGTATTTTGTAATAAACCATCTATACATTCATGTCCTTTAATTCCACCTCTGCCTCCCGCCTATCAGACCAAAATTGCCTTGTCTCCATTTACTATTTTCCTTCTTGATGCCCTCCTTTGTCAAAGTAAGAACATTTTTGCTCCTCACACAATCAATATATTTTTTTCAATCGTTCAACTACCAAGCTCTCGAGCTCTGTAGCCAATTGATATCAGTGGGATAAAATAAAATCCCACTCACATGCACAACGGAAACGAGAATGAAGGACAAAATATATATATATATATATATATATATA